GGTGGAGGTTAAAGTAAGGAGTCAAGATGTACCATGTGTTTCACAGTCAGTTGTTCTAAAGACACAGTTTTTCTCATTTTCTAACAATGGCTAAAATAATGACTTGCTGGGCATTTATCTTATGATCGTGACGATTTAACCCTACCCGTACGTCCTGGGGTCATTTTGTACCCCCGGGGTTGTATTCTTCACATTTTAGAATACTTCAAGTACGAAGATCTCTTTGAAACTTTCTCAAAAAAATCATTTTGACAGACTGCCGTGCAAAGTGTACGGATCGTATTAACGAGTAATTTTCCTCTTTGAAAAGTGGTGGCACAGAGATAGATCTCTGAAGTGTCTTTAGGCCATTCCCAAAGGGGGGACATTTCTCGTTCAAGCACGGTAGAATTGTAAATGGGCTGATTCATGTCACGCTCATAACTGTGCCTGATCTACAACAGGGAACTGTTGCTTTTTCTTTCCTAATCCTTACTATTGTCATTTCCCTCTACTCCTTTTGTATCTTTGTCACTCTCTTGTGACCTGCTATTTCCGGGGTACCTTGATAGTCGAAGAAGACCTTGTGCTGTTGGAGCTAGAGAGGTGAGCAGAGTAAGTATGATTCCCTGTAAAAACCTCTCTGTTGGCACCAACCCCTTGGCGCTCATATGACCTTATGCAGTTGCGAGCGCCGTAAAACCCTCTACTATAATAACAAAAAAAGAATAATAAAAGAGATAGACCTACAGCAAAAGAGCAAGCAGGCCGACAGATAGATGTTATGGTGGGGATCCTGTAATATCATGTATTTTCGGGGATTCAAACTTACAAACCAAATACTCTCTCTCTCTCTCTCACACACACACACACACACACACACACACACACACACACACATGCACACACACACGCACACACACACACACGTACACACACACGCACACACACACGCGCACACACACACACTCTCTCTCTCTCTCACACACACACACACACACACACACACACACACACACACACACACTCAACACACACACACTCACTCGCTCACACACACAAACGCACAGACAGACACACAGACGATCATGAGCATGATGCACGAACTGTCGGAAACGAGCCACCCCCCCCCCCTCACCCAAATAAAAACCCAGAAAAAGAAAGAAACCCTAGGTGTAGCTTCCCGACGTCTTACAGTGGCTCAAGACTAAGAGCGTGCGGGTTAAGGTGTTGGCATCTCCTTCAAAGGTCCCGGGTTCGAATCCGGGTAGAGACCGAAACAAATTCTTCTCTAAAATTGTCTCTTTAAACCTCCTTTCCTGCTCTCTTTCTGCCCCCACCCCCTCACCTCTTTTGCCCTCTTCTCTGGGCTCCTGACTCTTTCCGCAGCCTTTCTACTGCTACTTCTTGGCTCCTTCTTTATGCTGTCTTTCAGCCACACCCCTAATCTTCTGGAAAGAAATATCTACACCTAGCCTTCTCGGACAAGGGCAAAAAATCTCGGAGGACTCGTGTGCAAATTGCGCACGTTAAAGATCCCTTGATGGTTTAAAATCGATAAGAGCAAGTTTCGGCCGGCACCCACGGCAAAATTCAAAATTTCCTACCGACTGAAAAAGATGAATGTGCCCCGTGACCTCATATGCAGTTGCGAGCGCGTAAAACACTTTTTTTAAAAAGAAGAAAAAAAAAGAAGTCTTACAGTGGCTCAAGGTAAGAGCGTGCAGGCCTGGTGGCAGAGCGTCTGCTCGGAGCTGTGGAAGAAGTCGGTGGTGTCGCAACAACTCTCGCACAGAGACTGCTGGCCCGTCAGCTCACACTTGGTCAGTTTGCCCACCTCTGTTGACGAAGGAGCGGACGAAGGTTTATTGGTCATAGTGATAATAGTGATAATAGTGATAATCATAATAATCATAATAATAATAATAATAATTATTATTATTATAATTATGATAATAATAATAATAATAATAATAATAATAATAATAATAATAATAATAATAATAATAATAACGCTGCACTACTGCTGCTGCTGCTGCTGCTGCTGCTGCTGCTGCTGCTGCTATTGCTGCTGCTGCTGTTGCTGCTGCTGCTGCTGCTGCTGCTGCTGCTGCTGCTGCTGATGATGATGATGATGATGATGATGATGATGATGATGATGATGATGATGATGATGATTATGATTTGTTTTGTTTCCTTAATGGGCCTGGCGGACTCCACGAAGAAATCTTCGAGAGAGAGCTAGGCTCTTTTTCGGCTCAGTTGTCAATATGCTTAGAGGCACCTCCACTCGTCCAAATAACTCCATTCGAATTGCCATTGTTCCTGGATATTCAAACATATGTTTGACATCCTCCTTTTCATGGACGCATCTTCGACAACTTGGGTAGAGCTCTTCATTTACAAAGTTCTTACCATCTTAAGCTCCAATGATGGTCCGACCGCAGTCTCGCTAGCTCAACCTGGTCCCAGCGACATGTGATATTTTGTTCCTGCTTATAGGAGTATCCAGAATACACATCTTCCAGGTGCTGGTACTTAGCTCTGCATGGTGGGTCTCTGATTTCCCTCTTGATCATTCGAAAGACTCCTCTGTATGTTGTTGGCCGTCTGTTTCCTTCAATCTCTCTGGCTCCATGGGAAAGCTCTAATGCTGATGATGATGATGATGATGATGATGATGATGATGATGATGGTGATGATGATGATGATGATGAGAATAATAATAATAATAATAATAATAATAATAATAATAATAATATAATAATAATAATAATAATAATCTATTTCTATTATCATTATTAAGTGAACGTCAAAAATATGGGAAATGACGGTTTTCTACCGGCTTCTGTGGTACGCGGTTAGGCGCCTCGATGTCGCACACAAAACGGGGTGTAAAAACACCTACATTTTTTTTAAAAAGTGTTTTTGTTTTCTTCGAAAGATCCAAATGAAAGGCAGTCAGGCTTGAAAGGAAAAAAAATGCAACTTTATTGTAAATCTATGGCTTAAAACCTTGTTTCAACACTGTAAAATAATTAAAGAAGCCTGACCTAGTTCCTCTCCGAGCCAGGTAGGCTGAGAGCCTTGAAACCTCTTTAACCCTAGCTGTATGCCCTGGGGTCATTTTGTATCCCCGGGGTTGTATTTGACCCATTTTAGAATACTTCTAGCACGAAGATCACTTTTACACTTTCAGTATTTCTCAAAAAAATCATTTTGACAGACTGCTATGCAAAGCGTACGGATCGGATTAACGAGTAAATTTCCTCTTTGGAAAGTGGTGGCACAGAGTTCCCCACACTTTCTAGGATTCCAATATTTTGGCGAGTGTCCGGTTTCACCTCCATGCTTCTCATTAATTTTCCGAGAACACCACAGGGCCTGTAGAGCAGACAAATTAGTGACCACTTACCATCGGTGATAGCGTCGAAGATGCCTCGCCTCTCGGACACGGCACAGACAACCAGACAGAGCAAAATCACGGCAACCTTCATGCTAGAGGAGGAAAATATACATGGGCATTTAGATATTGGGCGCTGTCTCTTCTCTCTCTCTCTCTCTCTCTCTCTCTCTCTCTCTCTCTCTCTCTCTCTCTCTCTCTCTCTCTCTCTCTCTCTCTCTCTCTCTCTCTCCCCCTATCTATCTATCTATCTAGTTGATGGAATAAATTTTTCTCACCAACCACTTTGGCAGCCCCCCACCCTCCAAACCTCCTTTTTCCGTTCCTATTTTTTTAAAAAGTGGAACAGTTGCATCGCAGACTTGACGCAAATGAAAACGGAAATGTTTCTTCTTCCAGCAAATTGGCTGTGGGTTCCAACAGCTATTGTTGTTCTTGGTCTAGTATAATTAATCGCTTTTAAGGACA